TAAGGTATTTGTTTTTCTTTTCTTTTTTTGTGTGCAAATTTTATTTATTTTAAATGTGTATATATGTGTATATTATGAATTTCAGAGAGGAAGGGAGAGGGAGAGAGATAGAAACATCAATGATCAGAGAGAATCATTGATTGGCTGCCTCCTGTATGACCCGCTCTGGGGATTGAGCCTGCAACCCAGGTATGTGCCCTGACTGGGAATTGAACTGTGACCTCCTGGTTCATAGGTCACGCTCCACCACTGAGCCAAACCGGCTGGGTAGGTATTTGTCTTTCTGTCTGACTTATCTCACTTAGTATAATGCCCTCTAGGTCCATTCATGTGTAGCAAATGGTGAAATTTCATTCTCTTTTATTGCTGAGTAATAGTCCATTGTGTTTGTGCCACATCTTTGTCCATTCATCTATTGATGGGCACCCAGGTTGCTTCCGCAGTTAGGCTACAGTAAGAAATGCTGCAATAATGAACATAAGTGTGCACATGTCTTTGTAAGTTAGCGTTTTTGTTTCTGGGGGCTAAATACCCAGAAGTGAAATTGCTGGGTCATACTGTAGTTCCATTTTTAATTTTTTGAGGAACTTCCATATTGTTTTCCATAGTGGCTACACTCATTTACATTCCCGCCGGCAGCGTGTGAGGGTTCTTTTCTCCACATCCTCAATAACACTCGTTATTGGTTGTCTTTTTGGTGATAGCTGTCTGACAGGTGTGAGGTTGGGACCCATGGTTTTCATAATGTAAATCCCCTTCTTTTCCACCACCTGGCCTGAGAGCCGTTCTCCTCAACATGCCACCCCCAATCTGGAGGTGATTCTTGGCTGTTGATTGACGCAGAGCTTGGGAACCAGAATTGACGGGAGGCCTTGTGTGCAAGTGTGGGTGCAAGTGTGTTGGGCGGTTTAGAGAGAGGGTCTAGAGTTGGACTGTCACCACCTTCCTGTGGAGTTGGATGGTCGGCCACAGGTACAAAGGGCCCTGTGATTCCTCAGTCAAGGCTGGTGGGGTTTAGGATGGGGCGGGAAAGACTGACGGCAGGCCCTTTAGCTGGTCTCCAACCTAAGGGTCTTCTCTGTCTCCTTCCTTCTCCCTCTCCTGTCATGTAATCTCACCCACCCCTTGCCCTTCAGGACCCTTGACTTCGCTGATTGGGGTTTACCAACCTAAATTCATGTCCGGGTGACAAATTAGCAGGTACCTCCTAAGCACATGAGCCTTTTAACCAGCCACGGGCCTTATTCGACCAAGGGGTGATTGACAGAGCGGGAAGGTGCGGGGTGGAGTGGATGGATGGTGGGGCGTGTGGGGACCTGCTCCGTTCACCCAGACACTCAGCATATGTGTCGGGAGCGCCTGCCTCCAGGCTGTGCCCGCTACACCGGGGCTATGAGACCAGCCTAGCCATGACACAGTTTTGGGGAAGATAAAGAGAAGTAAATAATCGGTTGGCTACAGATTGACAAAAGTGAAGGGAAGGAGGTGCAGGGTAGAGGGCTTCCGGGAGCACCAAGGGGGGCACCACAACCAGCTTTGGGCAGTCAGGGAAGGCTCCCTGTAAGAGGAAACATAAAGACCTAGAGAATGAGCAGGAGATAACTTGGCAAGAACCAGTCAGAAGAGAAGGTTTTAAGGGCAGATCCCCTGGTCATCCTGACTTTTGGGGGGGAGGGTCAGTGTAGAACATTCAACGGACAGGGTGGCTAGGGGCTCCCGGCACCCAGAGGCCTTGCTCAGCTGTGAGTTGTGTGTGCCAGCACAGGGGGGAGCATTATTTTTTGGGGGGGATGGTGACTGCCTGTGGCATGGTGCTGCGGGTTCAAGTGGGCCTTGGGCACAGTGCGGTGTGTGGCCCAAGCAGCCCGGGTGCTGGAAGCCCAAGCCTCTCCTAGGAAAGGGTGCAGGGGTGGGAGGGTCGGTTGCAGGATTGCCAGGGCCAATTGCGAATTAACCAGGCTGGCGTTAAATGCCTTTGCTGCTTTTCTCCTCCCCTCCCACTCCTCCCTGCCCTCCCGAAAATCAACAACTGTGTCAACAGCAGGGTGATTGTGCTTGGCCGGCAGCCTCCGGGGCTGCCAGGACTGGGCAGGTGCTGGCAGGGGCTGCCGGAGCCCCACCGGGAAGCAGGCTGGGCCTGGCTGCCAGGGCTGCAGGATAAACAAGGCCGCACACAGGCGGCCGGGAGGGAGGCTGCAGGCAGGAGGAAGAACAGGTGTCTCAGGAGCGAGGCAGACACAAAGGACCTCTTGTCTCCTCCCCCTTGGCCCCAGGGAGCAGCCCCCTCCTCCAAGCCCAAGACCAGGGGTCAGGTCAGCCAGGGGCTGCTGGGGGTGAGGGAGGGGCAGGGGCTGACCTCCTGACTCCCCCTGCCCCTTGGTGCTTGTTTTTTTCTTGCCCGAGACGAGGTGAAACCAGTGCTGACTGGGTGCAGGAAGGTGGGGTGGCGGCGGAGTCGGCCCCACTAGCCCCACCCATCACGAGGCCACTGTTCGTCCATCTCCCACCGGAAGGCCTACAGGACTCCTCACCCCCGGGGGTGGGGGTGCCCAAGGAGGAAAAGGGTGGGAGATGGGAAGGCACCTGCTGCTTTGGGGAGGAAACATAAAGACCTAGAGAATGAGGAGGAGATAGTTTGGCAGGAGCAATGTGGGTAGTGATGGAAGGCGGGGCGACAAGTAGAGCAGCTTGGGCCAAGGAGGGTTCCAGGTGGTTGGGGTGTGGCAGCACCTTCCTCCCTCCGTACAAACGTTTACGGAGCACGGAGCACCCACCATGTATTCGGACTGGGGGAGGCAGGGAGAAATACTACAGTGCCAGCACAGCCTGGCAGATTCTGGAGCCGCCTGCCTATGTGGTCTTTTGTAGGTAACAAACTCTGCATCTTGGTTTTCTCGTCTGTAACATGGGGGAGATAGTAATTGCTGCCAGTGGGGCTGTTGAGATGGTGAAGTGTGAAGAGATGCCTGGTGTGGTGCCTGGTTTATAGTAAGGACTGCATAAGATTAGGCCGTATTGTCCCTGGCTCAGAGAGCAGCCGGAGCCTGGGAAGTAGACGTAGATGGTAAGAAATAATTGCATTCCGGCCAAGTACTAGAGACCAGGATGTCCGAGGGCCCAGCTCTGCTAGAATTATCAGAGAGTGATTTATGAAGGCAGGGAACGTTTGAACTGGGCTTTGAGTGAGGTGTAGGAGTTTTCCGGTCAAGAATGTAGGATGGACCTTCTAGGCAGGGGCACCATGTGAGTCAGCCCCCAGAGCACATGTTTATGTCTATACTAGAGGCCCAGTGCATGAAATTCGTGCACAGGTAGGGTCCCTAGCAGCTGCCAGCTGCCGGCTGGGGCCTCCCTTCCTCTGTCTGCATGCTGCTGCCGCCAGCCTGGGCCTCCCTTCTTGCAGTTGGCTAGCCGGCCCGGCCCCCTTGGTCAAACTCCTGGTCGAACTCTTGGTCAAGGGGACAGTTTGCATATTAGGCTTTAATTATATAGGATTATAGATTTGTGAGGACAACAGCCGGAAGGATGGCCGGGGCGAGGCTGAGAAGGGCCTGCAGGGCAGGCGAAAGTCTAGGCTCATCCCAGCTTACTGCAGGGTGAGCTGCCGATTTTGGTCGCCACCAAGTGCCTTCCCTCTGCCTCCCCCTCCAGTGCATTATGGAAAATTCAGTCTCACCGCTCTGGAAGAGTCTTCACTTCGTAGAGAAGCAGGATTGTTTAGGGAAAACATCACTGAGTTTTAGGCTCAGATAGTTCTGGGTTGGAAGCTTGTGGGTTTTGAATCTCGGTGTTGGGCCATCTACCTAATCTCTTTGAGCCGCGTGTAATGTGATCCCCCCCGGGGCCGGGTGATGGTGAGTATTAGAGAGAAAGGTGTGCCAAGTCCTGCCGTGCCCGGGTGCACAGCAGACGGGAGCTGTGAGGGGCCCTCCGTGTGGTCCTGCCCGCATCAGAACCCGTCTCTCTATCTGGGCCTCCGTCTCTCTATCTAATATCGAAACAACTGTGCTTCTTCTTCCTTCCATGATTTCGAACTGGCAATGGACTATGGGTAGACCAGTCAGCGGGAAGCCCAGGACCAGAGGGGCCGACATTGGCCTCCCCGGGGCAGCATGGGGCCTGCTGGCCTGAGGCGGAGGGAGCGGATGCAAGTGGCTGGGGCAGGGATGCCAGTTCAGGGGCTGCTCCCCATGCATCGGGCAGTGGGGCCCCCATCCTGCCTTTGCCACGGGGTGAAGCCCTCCAGGGGCCCCCTGACATCTTCCTGTGACTGCAGTGCTGGTGTTTGTGGGCCGGTGGGAGACCGAGGCCCCGGTCTGCCTCCAGCTTGTGTGTCCTCAGGCCTGTCCGTTGGCCTCTCGGAACCTCGCTTTTCCCACCTGCGACTTGGGAAGGCCCAGCGGGACCCCACCCGGGATGAAACGAGAATGCTGTGCTGCTGTGGCAGCCGTCAGGCGAGGGTGAGGATGGCCACCCTGGTCATTTCAAGCTCCAGATGTGCAGCCAGACCCTTCGCCGCAGTCCCACATCTGCACTGGGCCCAGTGCCTCCCTCCCCAGGGCGCACCTCGGGTGCCTCCCAGCACGAGTCAGGAAGGGCCGAGAGGATCTGCCCATTTTGTGGATGAGGAGACTGAGATTTGGAGATGGGAACGCGTCCAGGCGGTGGGGCTGCCTTGTCCCTCGGTGGCTGTGGGTGTGCAGGGGCAGCTGTTCCGCGTGGTGTGTGTGGCCCTGAGCAGAGCCAGTGGAACCACTCTGGGATTGGCCTCCTGCCACTGGTTTTGAGGACTTGGCGATGGGAAGGGCGGGGGGGGGGGCGGGCGGGCACTGAAGAATATCTGGAGCCCATTGGGTCTCCTGACATTCCAGGGAGCCCACCCGAGACCCAGTCGGAAGGGTGTTTGCCTGGGCAGGGGCCACCATTGTCTCCCTCATTTGCCACCTTGGCTGTGCCCGGCGTGGGCACAGCTCCATTTTCTCTTCCTTCTCCGCACTCAGGTTTCTCAGGTGGCTGTGAGGTGAGGTGAGGCCAAGAAGAGAACGTGGTTCGGAGGGGATGCCGGGAGAGGCGGCGGGGACAGTCGTCGGGGTGCCCTGGCCAGCTGGGCAGACAGCTTCCTCGTAGCCCCGAGTGAGAGAGCGGCAGAGAGAGCAGCAGTGACCCTTGGATTTCTTTCAGGTCCGTGTACATATTTACATGCAATTTGCATAAAACCAGTACTCTGAACAGTTTTATAATCCATCTCCAGGCACATTCAGATTTGCCTTTTATACTGTTGCTCTTCGTGAAGATGGCTGCTCTGGCTGTTTGATCTTGTTTACGCCTTCTCACGCCTGGGCCATGTCTCCCCTGACCCTCTCTCCGAGGTCAGGCGACGGGGACAGAGTCAGCTCAGGGTCACCTGCTGTAGAGTCGTCCTCCCTGCGGGGCGTACCGAGGGCTGGACCAGCCCCTGCTCTTCAGCAAGGACATCCAGGCCCAGCTGTCCCCACCCCCAGAGGCAACCCTCATCCGTGAGCGGGGGCCAGGGCACCTTTGCACACAGGGACGCTGTGCTTGGCTCTTAGCAAGTGCGTAGTCAATGTGAGGATGAGTGAAATGAGAGAAGTCGCTCCTTGGGGCCTGGTTTTTGTGCCCATGACTGGAGAGGCTGGTGGGGAGAAGGGAGCCCCTGAGGTCCTGGGGTGGTGGAACCCATTTCCCTCTCTAACTGTGGCCAAAGGGGCATTGCTTTCTCTTCTGGCCTTGCAGGAAATAGTGTTGGGGGTCAGAGGAGCCGAAAGGAAGGGCCAGGCCCTCTATTATTTTGTTTTCCAGATCGAGAATCTGTTATTAGCACAATTTATGACATCCAGGTCTCCAGCCAAGCACATTCTGTTCCCCAGTGTTGGGGAGACGTAGGGACCATGGCGAGAGGCTGAACAGGAAAGAAGACAAGTCAACAGTTTTGTGATTGACTGTGGTGTCTTGGCTTGTGCTAGGGGACAGTTCTAGTTTGGGGCCAGTTTGAGCCCAGGTCTGTGTGGGGAGACACCCTTCCGGATGGCATGGCATCCCCATGTGAACCCAAATAGCTGTTGTAGGCAGGGTGAGCGGGCTGCCCTCTCAACCTCATGCCCCCTGGGCCCCGGGCTCCAAATTTTTCTCCGTGAAATGGAGTCAGGGCACGGGCATTCGGAATAGAGTCGCTGTAGAGTTTGATGCGATGGCTGGGCCCGGGAAGACCCCTACAAGGGGAGGAGAGCAGCTGTGCGTGAGAGGACCCCGGAAAGAGGAGGAGGAGTGGGCCAGATGGACACCTCGGTGGAAAGAATGGCGCACAAGCAAAACACCCCCCTCTCTGCAGAAGTGCTGAGCTGGTGGAACTCAGCCCCGCGGCCGCGAGATTGGGGCAGCAGATAGAGCTCTGCGGTGCCTGGGCTGTGTGTGCGAGGTGGTATGTGGGGCTCCCGGAAGACAATGGAGAGGGCAGGAGCCGCACCTGTGGCGCCCCCTCCACCAGGCTGGCCTCCGCGCTTCCCCCGTGTTGTCACCAGTCCCCCTTCCTGGAAGCAAGTCCCCTTCCTCCACCCACCCCTCATGTAAGTTGGTCTCGTTCTTCTCTTGTTCTCCCCTCCTCCTCCTCCCGGCTGTTTGGCTTGCAATAGATGCAGCTACATTAGCCTTTCTTCGGGGAATGGGGGGATTTCTCAGGGTCGGGGTTGGTGGTGGCTGATCCCCCAAGGAGAGTGCACCTCTTAAGCGGTCGAATCCTGCCGTCCAGCAGGTCACGTGGTTGGGAAGGGCAGACTCGCTGGAGGAGAAGAGGCGTCCGTGGGGTTCTGGGAAGAGCCAGGGCAGAGAATGTGTGCATCGGGTGGTGGGCAGAGGGCTGGGGCAGTGAGAGAATGGCCTGGCTGCCAGCTGTGAGGCTTGGACTATTATCTTATTGTTATGCTCATACAGCCTGGCCGGGTACTTGTCCTCTGGTGTTGGCATCCTTCTCCCTGGACGGCTCGAGGCTCTGCCAGGGGCTTGTGAAAGGATGAACTCAGAGATGCAGTTCAGTAAAGTGTGCGTGGAGCATGTCTCAGGCCAAGCACCAGCCTTGGGGCTCCACTAGCAACCCCAGTCCTGCGGAGACAAATGGTGGCTCCTCTGTAGCAGGTGCCAAGTGGAGTCCTGCTGGGGATACCCAGGGCCTTGGCTTAGCCTGCAGGTGGGCCGGGACCGCCGAGGTCAGCCTGGACGTGGACCGGGGGAACCAGAGAAAGTTTCAGAACTCCCGGGACCTGGGCCCATTCATTCGGGCTGACACTTCTCGAATTGTTCTAGGACAGTGATGGCGAACCTATGAACTCATTTTTTGGGGTTGATTTTTCTTTGTTAAATGGCATTTAAATATATAAAATAAATATCACAACTGTACGTCTTTGTTTTACTATGGTTGCAAATATCAACAAATTTCTATATGTGACACGGCACCAGAGTTAAGTTAGGGTTTTTCAAAATGCTGACACGCCGAGCTCAAAAGGTTCGCCATCACTGCCCTAGGACATTCCCCCACAGACCCCTGCTCTTTTTCTTTCCTTTCACACATCTTTGCTGCCTTCAAATCGTGCCACCCCAGCTGGTAATGGAGACAGGTCTCCCTTCCCTGCCAGGGCGAGTGGGCTCCCAGGTGTGGGCCGTGCTGGCAGCCCTGGGCAGTGGGCTGTGCCCTTTCCCCTTCTGCCCTGAGCCCTGCTGCCCTGGGCTTTGGTCCTGGGCCCAAGTGAATGAGTGTGGCTGGCTTTCCTGGCAAATCGAACATGTGCCCTTTCTCGATGAATGGGCAAATGTATATGGTTCAGGATGGAGGAGTAGTAATCTCTGGGTGTCTTTGTAAAAGGCAGTGGTTTGAGGTATTTTGGACAAATGAGTTGGGGGTTGGATAAGCTTACTAAGTCCTCATGTAAATCCTGGGTGAGGCCAGGGGAGGACCAGACCCTGTCCTCAGGGAAGCTGTAATCTGTCTGGGGAGGCGAAATCCTAGGAAACCGAGTTGCATTGTGGGAACAAAGCCTTTCACCCCAGTTGGCCAGGGCTCCAGGACGGATGGTGGCAGCTCCGTCTTCGCAGCCCTGGGTTAGGAGGCTGGGACAAGCCGGAGTCTCAGACCCAGGTTTGAGTGCTGGTTCTGTTTCTTCGAAGGTGCGTGATTTCTGGCAAATACCAGAACTTTCTTAGAGCCCAGTTTTTTCATTTACCAAGTGGGAAAAGAGTAACACCTGACAGGGCTTTGAAAAGGATTCGGGAAGTGCTGTGTATATCGCAGGGCCTGGAGGAGGGGAGGCCGCAGAGTGCGGGGGAGCCGATATTGTGGCGATTGTGGTGGTGGGTGCAGGGGCTGTGGCTCTCCTGGGGCTGCCTGGAATGGGGGGCAGCCCCTCCCTGGGGTCAGGTGTATGGCCTTTGGATCTGATGGTAGGGACACACTGTCAGCCTCGCACAGTATTCCTCCTTCAGATGCAACCCGCAGATGTGCTGTGTGGCCCTGGCCAAGTTACTTCGCCTCTCTGTGCTTCAGCTTCCTCAGCTGTACCATGCTGTGGACAGGCCTGCCTGTTGGGGAGGATTACAAAGGATTCCACGGAAGGTGTTCAGAACAGCGCCTGGCACCTGGGACTCTTCCCCAGGTGTTTGGTGCTGGTGCTGTGGTTATTCTGTACCTGGAGTGAGCCATTCCTCAAAGGGCGAGAGCTGCTCTCTCTCCCAGTCCCGGAGCTGGGATCGTGGGGTGGGTTGGGTGGGGTTGGGGTGGGCTGGGAGGGGCCTGCATGCGGGCGCTGGGGAGAAGCCCAGAAAACAGAACACACCGCTTCTCACACCAGCTTCGGGCAGGGCATTGCCAGGTGTAGCCGAAATGCCAGTCTGGCTCAGAGCACTATCTTGTGTGTTCCCTGAAACGAAACTGGTCCCTGAGGGGGGCAGCTCCACCCCACGCAGGATGGATTTTGTAAAAACCAAAGAAATTCACATGTAGTTGGGATCGCTTTGAAGCCCGAAACTACCACAGTCACAAAACCCAACTGCTGGTGGATTTTAATAATTCATCGTCATCCACAGCCGGTCGCTAATCTTTGGACTCTGGGCGCCCAGGAACCGCCAGCAGGAGCCTGGCAGGAAATGAAGGCTGCCCGGTCGCACCCACGCCCACAATGAGAGGGTTAATTGGGCTTGGAGCGCCTGTGGGTAGCAGCCTCTTCTCCCAGGTCCTTGTGCTGTGGTTCTGAGCTTGGGGTCAGGCAGACAGACCTGAAGTGGGACTCTGCCTCCACCCCTTGGCTTCAGTCGCCCCGGCTATAAAATGGGTTTAGTCTGTAAAATGGGTTTAGTCGTTGCTGAAAAGCTGTGAGGCGCTCGGCGTGTGGCAATCACAGTGAGTGAGTGGCAGGTGCTGTCAATAGCCTTCTCCAGTTTGGTCGCAGCCTGAAGGTAGAGGCAGGGGCTCAGCACACCTGCATGTATTTCACAGCATCAAAGGCCGAGGCGCCTCCCCCACTTACAGTCTTATCTCTGGGGCAGAAGGAAGACTTCATTCCACTGCAAATGGAAACACTGAGGCCTGGGAAGGTGGGGCGGGTGTCCCAGAGCCTGCCGTGCAGTACAGGCACCCATCCCCTCCTCGTGCGTTGGGCTTTCTAAACCAACCACCAAGTGCACCGAGTGCTTTGACATTGAGAAAAGCACTTGGCCAAGGCTCCCAGCAAATCTAGTGGTGTTTTGACTCCCAGTTTCCCACTAGGAAAGCCCAGGTTCAGAGAATTAAGCCAGATTGTGGCAGAGCCAGGGCTTAAGCTCAGACCGCCTGCCTCCAGATCCAGTGCGTATTTCCACCGTGCACGGCAGAAGTCTCACCCCAGCCGTCTGTCCTCTGCAGTTTCTCCCCCCACCCCAACACAGGTAGGCCTGTCAGGGCGCATAGTCATGAGCCGGCAGGAAGAGGGTTAAATTCCTCCTAAGCCACAGAGCTGGTTTTGAGCTGGCGCCTCCACTGACCCCATCACTGACCCCCATCCCCTGGGTCAGGGCTGCAGGCTGTGGGGGGAAGGGCAGAGAGCCTCTAACAGCCCAAGGGGGGCAGAGGGAGGGCCTGGGGAGGTGGGGGGCGGGGGAGGGGACACTCATCCCTCTTCCTCTCTGGACAAAGATGCTGG